CTGATGTTAATGTGATTTTATTATGTTGCTGTATTATCTGTTTTATATTATTTAGTGCTGTGATTATTGTTTATTTGCTGTAAGTCACTGAGCGTGTCAATGGAAGAGCAGAATAGAAAAAAATATTGTTATTGCTATTATCACTTGTAATAGTCAGTGAGACTGACCATGTGAAAGTTCCCACCTGTTCTTACTTTTGTTTTATTATGAAACAAAAAGAGTGTGTACCATAAAGAGCACCAGTCTGAGGAAAACTGCCTTGGCTGTTAACATTTAAAGGTCCTTTTAAGGCTCAAGAACATAAAGAATAGACATATTCTCATTCTGAAATGGCTTTCATACTTTTGAAACCATTATAAAAACCTTTCTTTAAAATGCTCCCCCATTTTTACAAAACGGTTTTGAACACATCAGTGTGAAGACTGCTGCTTTCACAAATCTTGATTTCTGTGCTAGCCAAACTACTTTTTATTAACAGAGGAAATAAGAAAGGATTGCTATTTTGCTTTCATTTATACTGTCCTGGGGAATGGCAGCAATAAAAAAGTTAGGAAAGATTTCTCTTTGCAAAGTGGAGTTCACAGCCCTTATGACAATGGTTGAACATCTCATGCTTCTTTTTCCTGCTTCTTCTTTCTTTACATGCCCACACTGGGCTGGTTCACACATGCATGTTCAACACTTGATGGCTACAGCATCAAGTAATCACTTGCACATGTGAGCAAACAAACATACAGTGGTACCTCAGTTTACGAACTGAATCCATTCCGGAAGTCCATTCTTAAACCGAAATCGTTCTTAATTTCCCTTATGAGGCATCCTGCCGCTGGTGCCCTTCCACTGTTCGGCTTCCGTTCTTAGACTGAGGTAAAGTTCTCAAACCGGGAAACTACTTCCAGTTTTGTGGAGTTCATAAACTGAATAGTTTGTAAACAGGGCTGTTCTTAAACCGAGGTACCACTGTAGATCAGATATCACAGAGAAAGCTTCCATATGATTTGGTCTCACAATGCTTTTCAAAGGAATCACTTCAAGGATCCAACTGTTGGTCTTCAAGCCCTGGTTCACAGGTGAACATTCAACAGTTGATGACTACAGCATTCAGTGATGGAACCATCTCATTGTCTGTATAAGTCAAATCCTGGTTCTGTGCCTCCTATAAATCATGGGGAGGGGGGAATTAATTATTGACTTTTTTTGCATCCTTGATAGCCTGACCCATATATTACTTCACTTCTGTATATTTATTCTCAGTGTACACAGTTTTGTGTGTACAAAACTGTGTGTACAGTTCTGTGATGTCAACCTGTTTTTGACAATGTTGGCAATATGTTCGGGGTTGCCAACCTTTTGGGGCCCATTGGGAATTTTGGGAGAGTGCTACGGGCATCACCCCATGCAGCTGCTTCTCTCTGCGCTCCCCTAGGCTAGGTCTCTCCCCATCCCCACAACAGACAGAAAAAGGGAAAGCGTACACACACATCATTTGTTTTTCCAAATGGTCTAGATAAAAGTCAGATCCAGCTGACAGATCCTCTTGAAAATGTATGATTTTACATGGGATCCACCCCCACTATCAAATTAAACCATACAATGGCAGATTGCACAGTAACAATCCCTACAGCACCACAAAAACATTGATCCAAGCCACAGATTCTCATGGATTTTCATGATTTTGACACAAAATTACAACAGAATTACAACAAAACCACCAACAAACAGATCTGTGGACACAGAGGCGACCTATGATTTGATGGTGGTTTTGAGATGATAATTTGTAAAAAGATTTGAGAATCCACAAGGATCTATGCCTTGGATCCATATCTTTATGTTATGACAGTGCTAGAAAGCACTGGGTCTATTTTTTTTTAAAGTTCAGGTAATTGAGACAATGTGATCTGTATTTTGACTTGTGATTTGATTATACTATTGCAAGAGGATCTGTTTAGATCAGCGCTCTCCAGACTTTGGGTGACACACTTTTTAGACACGCATCATTTCGCAACACAGTATTTCAGTTTTTCTAGCAAAGTGGCGATTAAACTAACCCCTTTCCACCCCCTGGAGAAGTGTGGGGAGCATTCGCGAGACACACCTATACACTGCAGCTGGCACACTAATGTGTCGCAACACACAGTTTGGAATACTCTGGTTTAGATGGATTGAATGTGTTTTCAGGCATGTGTACCTTTTCTTTCTCTCCCTCCCCCCATGACTCCTATGATACCTTTCTTTCTCTCACCTGGCTGCTATGTTTTCCTCCCCACAAGCTTCCCAGATTTCTTACCTTGTGCTCCTGCCCTCTTCATTCACTCCACTTTCTGCTCATCTACTCGGGTGTTCATTTCACCCTTGGAAACACTCCACCCACTGCCTCTTTCACCTTTAAGTGCTTTGTGGCAGACGGTGGGGTGGAATTACCACCTCATGAGCCGAAGGGAGGCCTTGGGTGCTTTTTGGGCACCAGGGGAATTCCTCAAGAATAGCACTGTATGTACAGGCACTGTTGGTGCCCTCAGCTGTAACTGTTCTAAAATCCAGTACAACTAGCGGAACTCCTTGTGAGCCTCACAATGTGAGATTTACACTCCAAGGCAGAAGGGCCTCAAGCCAGATGACAATGTTAAGAGTGGTCATTTCTCGGTGAGGTTTTCAATGGCAAGTCCTTGCCACCCTTTTCTAATGAAGCATGAATCCAGTTTGGCAGGAGATGCCATTTTTCTTGCAGGGAAGTCATTTGCTGCATTTTCTCAGGGTTTTGAGTTAAGCATATATTTGGCACCTGTGCTCTGTAACTGGTGTAGTGCCACATGAGAAGGCACAGTGCCACTCTGGACAGATGGGGTGAGGTGCTGGCATGCCAGGGAGCCTAGTATAGGCACCGAGGGGGTCGGATTTCTCTCCAGGAATGTTGAAACATCAGCACATGTCGATCTTTGGTATCCGAGGCACACGTGTTTCTTGGCAATAATAAGGCTTCCTGCTGAATATCTTGGCATGGACCACAAGGTGGCTTTCCACACCATGGGAACACATCTAATTTCTGCCATCATTGCCCTTAGACGAGAAACAGAAAAGGAACTGTATTTTGCAGATTAGACTTTTTAAAATAATAGATGAAGAGCTGTTAAAATGTCATCACAACTTTCATGGACTATGACTCTTTTATTAGTTAATGGCTGGTTTATTCTGATCAGAGAGCACTAGAAAGTGTGGCTTGGCATCCAGCAACAGCAAATGTCACAGTTTAAAATCTTTGTTCCAGTTTTTTTCTCCTGATTTAATTTAATTTTGTTTTATTCTTCTCTTCAAGAAATGATAGTGTGCTTTTTTTGTCTTCCCATATGAGTGTGTGTGTGTGTGTGTGTGTGTGTATGCGCGTGTGCACACACATGATACAAAAACAACTTCAGGGCACTGCTCTATTTTTGCTGAAGGCAATTCTGCATGGTTTATTTCCATTTATTTACTTTTTTTCCTCAGGAATTACAGTAAAGGTTTTCTATTTCATCCATTACAGCACAGTGTTTTTAACATTTGAATAGCTGCATCAATATGAATCCTTTATAAGAACCTTAAAAAACAAACTTTGCCAAGTCCCAGAATACAGAAGCTAATTCACAACCCCAGTCCTCAGCTGCCTCATGAATAAGGGAGACTGTGTGGCTGACACTTTGAAGCTGTAGCTGTTAAACCATACAGAATATTTACCTCAATAAATCATTATAAGAAACTAAGGTACAATTATACCCACAGAGAAATAAAATTCAAAACACTGATTTATGTGGTTCAGTTGCCTGTTCTCTTTTCCATCATGTTTTGAATTTTATGCATGTTTGTCATCTTTGGCTGTTTCCATGTGTCTTTTAACTAATGGGTCCTGCCTTTTTTAACGTTGCTCATTAGGGTTGTTACTTTACTTTGACATCTAGGCATGATTTGCACAGCGTACAAAGTTTTGCATCTAAAATTAACTGTACCTTAATGTATAGACCCAAAAACTAAATGGGAAAAAATGGGAGAAAATGAGCTTAATTTATTTCAAGTTAAATGTGGTGCTGCTCAACTTAATTTAATTTAATCAAAGAAACTACATTGTATTTACGTGCTGCTTTGATGTTATTTTGGAAAATGAGACAGTCCAACATTCTTATTAATTAATTCACAATATTTTTACCCTACCCTTCAATACCTAGAGCAGCTTACATAAAAATAAAAATGTTATACATACAAAACATCTAAAACAGCAGACATAAAACTACAGCACAAACATAAAACAATTTCTAATCCAATAAACTAACAACGGTTTAAAATATTTTGAAAGATTCAGCAGATTTACAAGTGAAAAGATATAATAGCTTGGGAAAACTGGAAGGTCTTCACTTAGTACCACAGAATAAAGTGGGTGCCAAAGAAGACTCCCAAGTGGAAGCACTGTTGCCACTCTCTTCCTGGAGGCTGCTTGCCTTACTTCTGATGTAAGGGCTATCTGGAAAAGAGGGCCAAACTAGGTGAGCACTTAACAGGTAGCAGGCAGCTACACATCTTGCTTTTCTAAGCACACCAACAGTGTGAGAGCCCAGTTCTCACTGGGAAAGCAGCACACAGGGATGGAGAGGATTATCTTTTTGGTTCTCCACTAAGATCAAATTGGAGATTACCTGTGGGGCTTTGAACCTTGTGGTGGGGGGCACGGAGGGAGACTCCACTGGTGCCAACGGGAGACCTTTTCTACTAAGGTTCCTAGCCATGGCAAGGGGCAATCTCCATTCCAGTCTAAGTGGGAGAGTAAAGAAACAAACCTCCCCTTCCTAGGTGCTGCTTTCACAAAAAGAATAAGGTTTGTTATGTACTGAAGTTCTCACTCTGGGCCAGCAGGGGGGATACTGTAGATAGTTTTCACTCAGGTCCGCATATGCAAATAAGGAATTGAAAGTGACGTTCAGTGATTGGATAGTTACAGAAAGTTGTTACTGTTGCTTTGTAGTTGAGCTCTATATAAGCAGGTTGGCTGAACCCATCAGATCAGTTCTGTTCTGGCCTGTGAATAAACAAGAGCTGTCTGAAGAATCGCTGTGTCGTCTGATATGTTCACCCACAACTTAACAAGGTTCCCGTCCTACGTAATTAGCTAAGGAAAAACAAGATGTTTTTAAATAGATGTCAAGTTTATGAATTATTACTACTACAGTTTGTATATATCAGGGGTAGGCAACCTAATGCCCGGGGGCCGGATGCGGCCCAGTCGCCTTCTCAATCCAGCCCGCGGACAGTCTGGGAATGAGCTTGTCTTTACATGAGTAGAATGTGCACTTTTATTTAAAATGTATCTCTGGGTTATTTGTGGTGCATAGGAATTCATTCATTTTTTCCCTTCAAAATATAGTCCAGCCCACCACATGGTCTGAGGGACGGTGGACCGGCCCACAGCTGAAAAAGGTTGCTGACCCCTGATATATATAATACATGCTGAAACAGATAATGTTTTGTTCAATGGACAGTCCAAAAGCTATAGTTAACTGCAAGACAGTTAACAGAGACCAGGAGGCAGAATCGCAGCAGACATTTTTTAAAAACAACAATTCCATTAATTCTCTGTTCACTTCCAAGCTAATTCAAAATGCTCACACTATCTTTTAATAATTCATAAACATGTTCCATTTGTGTTTAAAGCATGCAATATCCCAATACCTAAAATGGCATTGCTTCTTTTCCAATTCTCAGTAGTTAAAGAAGGACAATTGCTCATCTGCTCCTCTGTTCAGAGAACAGGTTAGTGACATTCTTGTTTCTAAACTGGAAATCTCAGATAAAGGAGAAGATACAGAAAATGGACATAGACACTGGGGGACAAACATCAAGATGGGGGGGAATCATGAAAAAGATGAGCTTTCAGTCTTAATAAGTTTTCTTTCTTCCCTTGAATTACCTGCAGTGTTCCATTTTTTCTTAGAGAAGACAAATCTGTAATACAGTAATTGTTCATTCCTAAGGACACTTCCAGACTGCCTCATTGTTCACACAAAACTTGGTTGCTACCCCACACTTCTGACGCTTTTCTAACCACAAAAAGTCTGATGAGAAAAGTGATAGAAAATTCCACTGGATAGCAGTGTGGGATAGCAACCACTAGCTGGCAATGTCATATAACCTCTGCACGAACATATCTGAATGAATGCTCAATAAATAGGAGATGTTGTATAACTTCTGTGCAAGTTTTGTGCAAAGATCAGCATGAGTGTTCCATAAATAGCTATCCTGGAATCTCCTCGGGTTACTTCCAGGGTAGGCAACTGCAATGAGTTGCCTTTGAAAAATAGTTTGAAAACTGCAGTTAGTATAAAATACAGCCTGGTGATCAATTAAGATCACCAATGAGGCTCACCTTTACCGTGAAGTGATCCAACATATGAGTATGTGCAAAAGACATGGCCTTTTCAGTGGTGCAGCTAAAATTATCAGAAACCCTTCCTGTAGCGATCCGCTAGGATCCTTTATTGTTGGTGTGAGGCATGTTTAAAAAACCTTTCTGTTTTAACAGTTATTAAGTAATTTTTAATCTTCTATTTTTAAAGGTTTTACACCAGCTATTTTCAAATCTTTCAAATTGTTTTAGATTCTTATTCTTTGTTATGTTGTTTTGATTGCTTCATTGTAATGTTACTTCCTTTTTTAATGGCACAATCCTCTGGTCCCTTTAGGTCCATTGAATTTTGAGGATCTCCTGCTCTGTTGATGAATGTGGGTGTTCATCCTCAGAGGGGATGTATGGTCTTCCAAACCCTCTCTGAGCCATTTTGGAAAGCCATTTTGGTATGGTGTCAGATAACAGAAATGTGTGTGCTATCTGGCCAGATGTGCACACCCTAAATTAACTTGTTCTCAAATGTGCTGTCTCATCACCAATGCTGAAGTAAAACTTAACTACCCATCCAGTTGCTTTGAATACTTGAAAGAGAGGTTACCTACCTCAGGCAGCAAAATTTATTCAGCCAGCCATCCCATTCCATTACACCAGCAGCTCTGCCAACACAGATTCACTCTCCCTTGCCCGTTTTGGATTGCTTTGTTCTTAAATATTTATTTTAATATTGGGTTTATATTTAATTTTTTTTAATTTATATTGACCTATAAGGTGTGGTTTTCAAAGTCTTGTCTCATAGTGTCCTGGACATTCCCTGGGTGCCCAGTGGAAAGTGGGATAATGCCTTTACCACCATCTTCCATCTCTGCTCCAGTGGTAGAAGGTATAGGGTGTTCTCATTTTGCCAAGTAAGCAAAAACAGTGTGAGTTAAATGCACACTGCTTTACATTTTTTGGTCAGGCAAACCCAGTTAAAATGGTGGTACAATTGGCTCAGTAGCTCCTATTTCTGTCGGCTTCTGCACCCTGACATTTGGCCAGTTTGGCCAACCTCTAGCACCGGCATGGATAACCCATATTTTCTTGCAATGTAAGTACAAGTTTCTTTGCAACTTGGTTGCAAAGAACATCTATGCAAGAACATCTTTTATTGTGAATTCACATACCTGCAATGGCCTTCTATAGCAACATGTGTCCTTTGTGCAGCACATATATTTTAAACATATAAAAAACGCAATACATAGTTCAGCCTAATTGGGATGGGAGCAGTGAGGAACGTTGCATCCTCAGACAGATAGGAAGAAGATAAGGGAAGAGGAGCATGTCTAGAAACTGAGAGTGCTTCCAGTCTCCACTATTTTCAGGAAGGTTTCAATCACATACCTGTGAGTTCAGGTTTCACATTTATAATTGATTAGGAGGTCTTGTGTATCAAACCCACTTCCCCAAATGATCAGACATTTTGTGATAAGAAAAAATTATGGAGAAATGTGCTGGAAGTGTGTGATAACACTTGCTTCAATGCAGTGTCATCCAATATTCCTGTAAAGAATCAGAAATAATGCCAATTAAATAGCCAATGTCATTTAATTCCCCTGCACACAAACCAGGATGCATACACCCCAACAATGCAATCCTACGCATGTCTACTCATTTATTTCAGTTATGCTTACTCATAGGAATAGAATGTAGATGTAGATTATATTTCACATATAAATATGGCACTGTGGTCTAAACCACTGAGCCTCTTGGGCTTGCTGATCGGAAGCTCAGCGTTTTGAATCCGTGCAACGGGGTGAGCTCCCACTGCTCTGTCCCAGCTTCTGCCAACCTAGCAGAAAAGCACACCAGTGCAAGTAGATAAATAGGTAAATGTCAGGAAGGTAAACACTGTTTCTGTGCACTCTGGCATTTGTCATGGTGTTCTGTTGCGCCAGAAGCGGTTTAGTCATGCTGGCCACATGACCTGGAAAGCAGTTTATGGACAAACGCCAGCTCCCTCAGCCTGAAGCGAGATGAAGCCACGCCCCATAGTTGCATTTGACTGGACTTAACCGTCCAGGGGTCCTTTACCTTTACCTTTATTTCTCATTTGCTACAGCTGATGCCTTTTTTCTGGTATATATGGGAATGTGTTATTATCTTCTGATTCTTGTTTTTACTGTAGTCATCTGGACAAACTAAGCCCATTACATAAAGTTCTGTTTTCACCTCCTTTGAGCATACATTATTTTGTGTCAAATTCTTCCTTTCTCAATTATACAAATTATACAAATTCTATATATTTTAAACACTAGCAAAAAACCGCTTATAGTAGTGTTGCCATATTTCAAACTAAAAATCTGGACAGAAAAACCGGCACTGCCAACATGGGCTGCCATATGTCCAGATTTTCTTGGACATTTGACTGATTTCCACCCAGGGGTGGTGGGTCTAACACAAGAATAACACAATTGATGGCTTAGGATTGGTGGCTGGCCAAAGTTGGCATCTTGACCTTATGAAGAGTAGAGGCTGTGGAGAGACCATGGAAAATATGCCGTCCTAAATAGTACTATTACTTTACCTTTTGCCCTTAAATGACACTCCTTGTTAGATGGGGTATGTGCTACAAGAGGCCCACCCAACCTCTGCAGTTAGGCCACCAAGTCTCTGCCTCTTCACCACCACTGTCTCCATTCCTTCATTTTGCTGCTCACTCTTGTTGCCAGCACTAGGGTGCCATTTGCTTTCAGTGGCAGTAGCACACACAGAGCAGATTCAGCCCCTTGTCCCCAAGGTGGGTTAGTCTGCCTGACCCTTTTACAAGTAACACTGTAAAATCATTTTTAAAATTCCTTCCAGTAGCACCTTAGAGACCAACTAAGTTTGTTATTGGTATGAGCTTTCGTGTGCATGCACACTCACCTATTGTAAAATCACCTATTTATATTTTATATTTTGACTACAAAGCTGTAACTTTAAAAAGAAAGTTGTTTTCAACTTTCAGAAATACTAAGGGTGACTTTTTATACCAGGTAACTGTAGTCTAGCCACAAGAATAAAAATGGGTAGCATTCCTAAAGCACTTTCAAGTGTTTACAGTTGTTCAAATATATTGTTGTGTGTTGTCATCCTTACATCTACCTTAAGGTATTATTATTCCCATATTATAGATGAACAGATTGACTCTGAAACGAAGAGGGAATGGCTTGCCTATGACAAAGGTAAGATAAAAAAAATTGGCATTTCTTGATTTGTATCTCAGTTTCTTGCACCTTTTCTCTGAAGTAACTCCTACTTTCTTCACTGAGATTTCCTCCCAGGTAGGTGCTCACAGGATTGCAGCCTTAGTCACTATGCTACATTTCAGAGGACAGGTTTATAACCTGTAAATTGATGTTCATGTTATGGTTCCTGAACCCAAGTGCACCACATAGGTGGAACTCCCACTCCGTGTTTCAGACCACATAGGATTATTGCTCTGAAGCTCATATAACTCTTGCTAAATTGCAGCTTTCCACGCTGAAGGGCCCTGGTTATAAATGAAATATCCTTTTGAGGGGAAAAGATTGACTATTTGTCCTATGTGAATAAGGTTGATTTGGTTATCATGATTTTATGATTTTGAATTGTGCCAGTGTGTTGCATTTGAATTGACTTTTCTTTTTCTTTTCTTTTTTCTTTTTTTGCTGCCCTGGGAACCTTGGATGGAAGGGTAGGATATAAGTAGAACAAGCAAACAAAGTAAGTTAATAAAACATTAGTTTCCCCCTATAGTTTCACTTTAAGTGAGTCCAATAGGTTTTGGAATTTTCTGGATCTTGCTTCCTCTCATTGAAATCTGAAATGGTATCCCTGCCTGTTCACTGCATTTAACTCCATCACACATTTTTCTTTCTTCTAGTACTTTAATAGGGAATTTAAGGCTTGCAGAGTCTGGCTCCCCCAAAAAGAACTTTCACGCAGCAATGAAAACATCAGGAAAAAAACATTATTTTTGAGGTTTCCATATAAAACCTAAAATGAAATGGTGCCAGATATTTAACTGCAGTTTGGTAATATTCCAGTGACTACATATAGAACTGTTTACTTTGTCTAGGACTGGTGCTTGAAAATCTAGTTAATTCCTCAAAATGAATTTTAGCAAACAGGGCCATATATTGCTTTGCTAAGAATAGGTGACCTAGGCTTAAGTGAAGTGAAATGTGAGTAAGAGAGAAGCCCTACACTCAATACTTGTTTCAAGAAGAAGAGATACCACTGGGGTGCATATCTGCTTGGAAACACACCCTCTGATGTGGAAGCCCTTCTCCCTGATGTGTAAGAAGTGGCTGCTTGATGGTTAGAAAAACGCACTCTACTCCTGCTTAGGGAATTTATTTTATTTTCCTATATTAGGTGTTCCAGAGTTAAATCCTAGCATTGAAAACACCTGTAGGGGCTCAGGCCTCAGAGGAAACTGATCCCTGCCCCTACTGAGCTCTTGCGACATTTTGAACTGGAAATTAAAAACTGAAAGAGATTACTCATGTATTAGTTCCCAGCCACACACTACTCAACACACAATTATTTTGTTTCTGCTGGAATCTTAACTGAAACTCACAATGCAGCCTCAAAGGAGTCCCCTGCTGCTGATGATTACAGAGAATCCCACTTCCTGCCACCTAAGCCCGTGCAACTCCCTCATTTTCACCACCCTGCAGAGATAAATAATGTATATTAATGTGAAAATATCAACAGCAGAATCTCTTAAATAGTGTTTGCAAAAATCAAACCTCTCTTCAAATCAAAATGATGCACATCTATTAATTTTGACCAAGAAAAGAAGAAAAACTCAAAATCTCCATGAAAAGGCTTTTGAAAAGTGTTAGATCCTCTCCTTGGAAAAAAAGTGTAAGTGGGCTATAGATGGGATATATTTCTAAGAAAGAAACAAATAAACAGCCTCAAGGCTAGACCAGAAAAGTCTCTTTAAGGATGAGGCTATAAAGTGAAAATTGGCAAGGCTGGATCTGTTTTGCTTGCTATGCCCAAGTCATTAAATTGAGTAATGTAGAAAAACAATTATTTGCATCTTAATTATCTGAAACTTCTTTATATTCCAAGGCATATTCCACAGAATCTCTGCCTGCCTGGGTTTTTTTTTTATGCTGCAGCAACAGCAATGGGAAGTGTGCCCAACTGGACCCTGTTGCCAGAGAGAGACAACATTCCTTGCCTTTGGGGTGGCATGGATTCCTCTTCTGACTCTTCTTGCTCCTTTCCCTCATGCACTACAGTGCAAGAGGATCAGCCCATAAACTGGACAGATCTTGAAATAAATAGCATTGCTACTTTTTTTTTTAATGATTCACCTCATAAATTCCCAGCAAGATTTAAAGAAGTAAAAGTATACTGTTTTAACTAAGTCATTGTGGTGTAGTGGACTGAATGGAGACTTAGATTGGGATGATGCAGCTTCAAACCTCTGTCTGGCCATAAATTTCACTGGGTGGCCCACTCTCTATATCCCAGACTAGCCCACCTCACAGATAAAATTGGATAATCTTCTGGTTTGGGACCAGGGAATTTGAGGAGCCACCTTTTTCTGTCTATTGATTGCAATCATCTTCTGAGGCCCTTTCCACCAAGGCAGGTGCAGTTAGAGGGGATATAGGACAGGGCCTTTTCAGTGGCAGTGTCCTGATTGTGGAAACTCCTCCCTAAGGACACGAGGCTGGCTTATCCTGTATTGTCTTTCTTAGGCAGATGGCAGGTTTTAGGCAGTTTTCTTCCACCAGGTTTTTACGTCCCCTGTTGCTTCTATTTATATCAAACTAAAACCTTGATTTTGATTCTTCATGTTATGTAGACTCAGGTCAAAGACTCTGATGAAGTTGCACTACAAGTCAGTGGATTTTAAGCAGTGATGTAGTTTCTCACACAAAAATGGGGTATTTAGTACAATTAATCATCTGTTTTCTTGTTTTCTTTTTAATGAACCTCATGTGGCCACGTCTAATGTCGAGTTGCAGCTCGGCATTCAGAGGAAAATCAGTCTCACACCATGATAGGTTCCGAAATATGGCTGCCCCTAGGGCTAATGCAGCACAGCTTTTATTGTGTGAAATAGAAAGATACAAAAAATACAAGCCAAGCAATTTGTTCTAGCAAGCAGATAAGAACCTTCGCACTAGACTATGCGAGCATCAGGCCATGCCACGTTAGCCAATCATATGGGACAGCACGAGCTGTTCACGCGCTATTCATGCTCCAAGGATGCTTCTAGCTATGAAATCACCCTGTAACAATAAGAACTTTGCTCATGCTCTCATGTACAAACAATCATTTTCCCACATGTCCTCTTTTCTTGTTTATATTGTTAGAGGAAAAGAGGGACCATTAGTCCAAATCGTACACTTCATTGCCTAAGCGTCTACACCTTGCAACATAAATTCCTCTTGTAACCCCTGTGGTGGGCCGTGGTCGGTACCACCATGCAGTGCATTGGGAAATCAAAGAGGGTATGCATTGAATGCAACAACATACCATAATAAAACCAACAATACATGCAATTACAA